AGCGGAAAGTAAAGCATGCAACTTGCAAGAAAGTAAAGGGATGGGATTGGAGTGTGCAAACGCAATAGGAGACATGGATGTTTTTGTTGTGGTTCCGATAGGTGGTGCTATCGTACATCCACGTTGATGGAGACTTCTTCAACCCACGAAGGGTAACGGCTGCGCGAGTCCATGGAGAGCTCCACCCACGAAGGGTCCACGAAGAAGCAACCTTGTCTATCCCACCATGGCCATCGCCCACGAAGGACTTGCCTCACTAGGGTAGATCTTCACGAAGTAGGCGATCTCCTTGCCCTTACAAACTCCTTGGTTCACTCCACAATCTTGTCGGAGGCTCCCAAGTGACACCTAACCAATCTAGGAGACACCACTCTCCAAAAGGTAATAAATGGTATTTTGATGATGAACTCCTTGCTCTTGTGCTTCAAATGATAGTCTCCCCAACACTCAACTCACTTTCATAGGATAGGATTCGGTGGAAAGATGATTTGAGTAGAAAGAAATTTGGGGAAGGCTAGAGATCAAGATTCATATGGTTGGAATGGAATGCCTTGGTCTCAACACATGAGTAGGTGGATCTCTCTCAGAAAATGAGTAGTGGAAGTGTAGGCACGATCTGATGGCTTCCCCCACGAATGAGGAGAGGGTATAGGGGTATATATAACCTCCACACAAAATCTAACTGTTACACACAATATACTAAACTCGGTGGGACCGAATCAGAAAACTTGGTCGGACCGATTCAGTGCATATGTGACCGTTAGGCAATTTCGGTGGGACCGACATGTCAACTCGGTGGGACCGATATCATTAGGGTTAGGGCATAATGTAATCTCGGTTGGACCTATTACTCAAACTCGATTGGACCAACTTTGGTAATAAGCTAACCAGAGAGTTGGTCAGGCAAACTCGGTGGGACCAATTCGCTCGTCTCAGTGGGGCAGAAGCGTTATGAAAAGGAAACAGAGAGTTTGCATTGCAGACTCGGTGGGACCGATCGCTTATCTCGGTTAGAACGAAATGTTACAAAGGGAAACAGAGAGTTTGTAATCCCATCTCGGTGAGACCAAGATCCCTATCGGTGAGACCAAGATCCCTATCGGTGAGACCAAGATCCCTATCGGTGGGGCCGAGTTTGACTTTTGGTTTTGGTCAGATGTGGATATGAGAAAGTGGCTGAGGGCTTTGGAGCATATCACTAAGCACTTTGAGCAAGCAAGCCATTAAGCAACACCTCATCCCCTTTTAATAGTATTGGCTTTCCTATAGACTCAATGTGATCTTGGATCACTGAAATGGAAAATGTAGAGTCCTAAGCTTTGAGCTTGAGCCAATCCTTTGTCCTTAGCATCTTGAAGGGGTTCCACATCCTCTTGTCCATGCCACTCCACTGTTGGACTTATCTGAAATATACTAGATGAAAGTATTAGTCCAACAAGAGATATGTTGACATTAATTACCAAAATCACCCAGGGAGCACTTGTGCTTTCAGGTGCCATCGACAAAATGACACGACAAGATAGGGCTCAACCCTATATTTCGGTGCCATCGACAAAATGACAAGACAAGATAGGGCTCAACCCTACATTTGGGTGCCTTCGACAATATGACACGACAAGATAGTCTCAAACGAACATAGTCTCAAACATACATCATAATTCAACATATAGCATCACAAACAACAAGACAACATAGTCCAACATGTAGCATCACAAACAACAAGCCAAACTAGTTCAACATAGGCTCAAACAACATGACACCATAGTCTGAAACGTACATAATAATGTAAGCAGTGCATTCACTCCTCCAAGATTGCCTTCATCATTCAGCTTCCTCTTGTTCTGCTCTCCAACCTTCCAAAGGTCATGTAAGTTATATTCAAGTTTTTTCTTCTCCTTCTTGAGCTCAGCAGCAACCTCTTCAGCCACTTTAACCTCCTTCTTTAGATCAAAGTTCTCTTTCTCTAACTTGATCATCTTTTCAGCTGCATCTAGAGGTATCTTCTCCTCATCCACATCCATCATTATTTTCCTGTAATTCTCCTTGTGCACATACTTCTGAACAGATTCACAAAAGTCCTTGGTAAGCTGAAAGTGATTGTTGTACTTCTCCTGCACCATCTTCATCTCTGCTTCTAACTTTGAGATTTTCTCTTCATTAGCTAAATTATCCCTAATTTTGCCTGCCTTGGCCTCCTCATACAAAACCCATAGTTTTGATAGTGAATTCTTCAGTGCATAAGGCCATTCATTGTCCACCCATTCCACAACACGACAATTGTTACCCTCCTGCAACATATTTCTTTGGCTTAACAATAGAATGGACAGAGAAGTGCATTCAATTACTATGAATGTGGCATTTAGATAGAAGAAAATAATAATTACGGAACTATATCTAAATCAAAAAATAGAGCATTGCATTGCATTGCATTATCTAATATCTAAATCATTTATAGGTTATTCAAATACCATCAAACAGAGGATATTTAATTTCTACAACACATTTATCAAGTTTGTCAAAACAAAGCATTGCAATTCTTTACCTATATCAAAATCAATTCGACATAACTAAATTTAACACCAAATATGCTACTAACCTTCTCGGCTCAACCATAAAACCTACGACCAGTGTTCAGTCCTTCGAACACAACAAGCCTCTCAGGAGCATTCCCATGCTTGCAAATGTGCTTTCCAGTGCCATCCATGCCCGACCAATCACCGTCCTCTGTTGTTGCTGGGTGCTAAGCAGACCAAAGGGGAAAAAATCAAAAGAAATGCAAGTTGTAATCAGAAACCCTAACCCTAGTCAGAAAGGTCACGATACTCACATAGGGTTTGTCGTCGCCCACGTGTGGCGGTAGCGACATGGAATCCGAGCTCGTCTCGCCGTCATTCCACGAAATCATGGCTACGGCGACCGTCGGCGGCTGAAAACAGCTGTCAACGGCGCCGACGTTGTCAGGGAAGAACTAGGGCACAGGGAGACAGAGAGGAGGGGGAATGGTGGCGCGGGCACGATCTGGTTCGGTCGAACTAGGTCAAGCGAGCGCCGCTAACGACCATCAGGCGCGCCCCGTCTGCGCCTTGCCATGTGGCCTGACTGGCGGGCCCGACCCGTCAGGTTTTCTGTCAAAACACGGTCAATCGACCAGTTAGTGCTTCGTGCGCCGATATTACTGAAAAATCGGTGGTTTCTGCATTTTATTATGAAAACGGTGGTTTTTAGCACCAAGAGACGCAATTGTGGTGGTTTTTTTTGCAATTTACTCTCCGCGCCAGGCCACTCCGGGGTAGTTATTCGGAGGAGATAAGGATGGCCACCCTAACTTCAGGATTCTATCAGAACCAGAGGTAATGACCTAGTTTGCTGAGAGATCGGATCATATCTCTAGTTTTTTTAGCACCTATCCCTCACCAAACAAGAAAAATTGACCTCTATTTGCGCACGAAATTGGATGCACTAGAGAGCGTTCCCTAAAGAAATCGCTCCCAGATAACGTCAACTCTATAACATTTTTGTTTTGCCTTTAAGACTCGATCTATTTTTCAGTTTTTTAGCACCAACACACTGGCCTTGCTCTAGCCTAGCGAGCAGGGCAGCCCAGCCTACACGCAGATGCCTACGTAGCTTCCCGTGCTAGCAATCATCAAACACGCCTTCAATTTGATGCTTCTCTGATTCACATATTTCACTTCCATTGTCCTTGAAATGGTGTGGACTTGTAGGAATGTGGGCATTTACCCTGTGAATGAGTAGTGTTAGTTTATTAAGGAACAACTCCTACATTCTGAATGTCCATGCAGCCGTATTTCACTTTCAGTCGCGAGGTACAGCTGATATCCCCTTGCTCTGTCTCACGACTCACTTTTTTTTTTTTTTTGCGGGGAACTCTCAGTTTTGGGTGCAGCGGTTTTCCCCTGTTTTATCTCGTGTCATAGAAATAATAATACAGTATCTGCTAAATTGATTTTTGTTCACCACACATCCTTGTAGAATCTTCATGCTTTTACAGGTATGTGCGATCCCCAGGTATAACAGTCGAATGAACAAATTCTGCACTTTTTCATGGTTTCTTTTTTTTGTGTGTGAAAAATCTACACTTCTTCGTGGAAGCATGGCTGATGGTGTGTTAACACAATCTCGGCTTGAAATGATGATGTGATTGCTGAGCTCATAAATGAGGTGAGGCAAGGAGACCAAACAATAAATATATACACGATCCCGTATGAGTTGCAACACCGTGTTATCAGATTCATTGATCTAATCATGTCAAAAAAAAGTTTCATTGATGTAGTGAAATTGGGGCCAATTTCCTTTTCTTTTCTTTTTTTGAAATGAAAGGTAGATCATGCTTTACCTTATATATTTCAAAACAGGCCGTAGCCCGAAGACCAAAGGTCAATTACATGAAACTTATATTGCGCACCGTGGTGCAAAGACCATAAGCAGCCTAAAGAGCGGGAAAAGAAGGAAAGGTAGAAGCATGGAAAAAGGTTAAATGAAAAAAAGGACCTAGGCTAGAAACCAAGCTTATGCACGCATTGTAACATTGGGGACTAATTAGATATGACATCACTTTGATGGATGAGATGTGGCTGAGCGATAGAGGCTTCTCTAGGCGCTGGGTGTGGTCTGTTGTTTTCAATAATGAAACGCAGAGGTCTCGCTGTTCCTATCAAAAGGAAATTGGGAGCCAAGTAAGAAAAAAAAGAGCAAACAAACCACCCGGCTCGACTTGGTCGCCGAGCTTCACATCATATTTCGTGTGGTAAGAATGAAACACTTTTCCACTGTTTGAACGAAACCATTGAAATGACTTTTTACACTTTTATTCCACGTCCGAAGCATGCATGCATGAAATGTTTACATTTGGTTGACACACATACCAATTATTGTTGGAAAATAAGAGATGAATTCATCCGTACGTCCATGATCACACGCACATCCCATGCCACACCCACACTTGTAGTGTATATCCGCACGTGGTGTCCCCCGTAATCTCAATTGACGAATGCGCAGCGCTTCCGGACTTCTCCCTTGGAGGGGTCCGTTATCACCCTGATGTTCCCCATCTTGATCATGGAATTCGCGAAGGCCTTGAAGAAGGCGTCCTGGCTTCCCGCGAACCGGTCGACGATCGGCGCCGTCGTCCCCACCGCGAGTGGGTCTGACTTGAGTTCCTGGTCGGACTGGAGGAAGCCGCGGTTCACCTCGAGGCTCGTGAAGTAGTTCTTGTCGAACTTATCAGGCGTCGTCGGGTCGAGGTCGTTCAGGGACCTCCCGTCGCCGTTCTGTGGGCATCGCTGGGACAGGAAGGCCCTGTAGCCCGGGTTGAGGGTCGGGTCGGGCCGGTTCGTCCCGCTGAAGTTGTACAGCCGGTCCGTGACGAACTGGCATTGCACGCGGCCGAAAGTGTGCGCGCCTAGGGAGGGACACAGTCGAAACAGAGTCAAGGCCAATATTCTCTCTTCGGACGTGCGTTGTGCATGTGCGCGAGCTTGGTTGGTTACCTGAGAGGGCGACGAGGTCGGTAGTATCGTCGAGCGTGGCGTTTCTGAACTTCTCTTTGAGGTTTTTGAGGCCGTCGAACGGGCTTGGTAGTTTCCCGGCTTCGAAGAAGTTGGACGTGAAGCCGTCCAGCCTCCCCAGCAACACGCTCCACCCGGGTCCTCCGGACTGCATATACATGCCAACTTAGTTAGCATCATGCTCATGCACCCGTTCGATCACTGTATGTAACGAGTAGGTGGTAGCACGTACCAGCTGGACCGATATCTGGGCGGCGATGGCGAGGATGTCGGCGCAGGAGACGACGCCCGGGCAGGCGGCCTCGAGGGCGGCCTTGGCGGCGTCGACGACGTCATAGCCGCGCGCCGAGCCCTTGTTGGGAATGGCGTCCTGCTCCGTCTCCATCCCGTTGAAGGTGTTCAGCAGCAGCGAGCCGTCGCAGCCCTGCACGAAGCAGTCGTGGAAGTGGAGCCGGATCAGGCTGGCGAAGATGCGAGGGTCCGACTTGTGCGCCTGCACCAGCACCCCCTGCACGATCTTGTACGCGTCCGGGCACGTGCAGTCGTAGTAGTCCACGCACAGGTCCGCCGCCGCCGCCCCGCCGGCGTGGACGAGGCACACAGCCGCCAGCAGCACGGCCAAGCTGGCGGCGCCGCGGAGGGCGACTGGGGAGGAGGAGGAGGAAGAAGCCATGTTGCTAAGAAGCTGGTGATGAGCACTGTGAGGAAGCTGGGGCTGGATTTATAGGCTAAGTTTTACTACTTGTTGGGTTTAACATGCATGCATTCTCGAGGCTGTTTTACGTAAGTACTTGGGCGCGGTAGGATAGAGTTTTGAATGGATGGATGGATGCGCTCCAACTCCAATCGACAAATTGAGCTCCGTGGGAGCAATCATTTGAGCTCCGCGGACTACTTTTCAAACTTGGTCACGATGCTTTCTTTGATGTTTCCGATTCAATGAGTGAGCGTGACTGAATATTGTCTCTAGCTATAGCTACTCTCACATGCTTGCAAACGTATGTGCCGATGTGTCTGCGGTTCAGTCATGTGTTGGGTGTTGTATCGTGTTCAAGTAGTGGCGAGACGAAGGAACATTGATTTTTAGATTTCTGTTCCCTCCATTCCTAAATATAAGTCTTTTTTATAAATTTCAATACATACTACATACGTATGTATATAGACGCATTTTAAAGTGTGAATTCAATCATTTTGCTACGTATGTATAGTTCATATTGAAATCTATAAAAAGACTTATATCTAGAAACGGAGGAAGTATATACCAAATCACATGCATGTACTTACATGAAGGAAGATAGTAATGCGGGATACGTCCAACCACTTTGGATGGTGGTCTAGTAATTGGCTGTGTTTAAGTTCTGTAATTCAAATCTTGATATCTTAAACCTTGTTTTCACTTTGTAATATGTTTGGATGTTTGCTACGATATTTTGATACATATAGCTATGTGCATACAGTGATATAGATGTTAGATTGTATATGGATACGTAGACTTGTGTATACGTGTTGTACTTGTACTTGTACCCTTTGGTACTTATATATAATAAGATAGCCGCACCCCCCAAGGGTGTCGAGCAGTTGCCCCAATATCCTAGCTTTACATGGTATCAGACTAGGGTTCCCGTCTTTCGCTGCACCCCTTGCTGCCGCCGCCGCCTCCGCCGATCACTGCCGCCGCCTAGCCCGATGGCCTCCGCGCACTCCGCCGCCGCCTCGGCTTCCTCTCCTGCTGGCGCGCCCATCGCTCCCTCATCGCCCTTTCTCGCATCCCCCCCGCTCGCCACGGCTTGGCGGCAGCCGTCGCTGCCCGCCGAAAGCCATCTGCAGGGCGGGCAGGGCGGGCAGGAGCAGGGCGGGCCGAGCCTGCCCCAGCCGCCGATCGCCACTGGTGGCGCCTCGCCCTCAACCTTCGCCTTCGCGCCGCCACCCTCTCGCGGCGCTGCACCGTCCGCCTACGGGGTGGCTCCCCAACCCTACGGAGCCCCTCCGCCCTACTATGGCGCTACCCCGACCTACGCTCCGTGGTACGGCGCCCCTGCACCAACCTACGGCGCCGCGCCACCGATGCCTTCTACCTGGCCGATGCCTCCGCCGTCACAGATCGCGCCGTCACCCTATGGCGCGGCCTATGGCGCCGCGCCCGCCGTGTCTTCGGTGGCCACACCTGGTCCGGTCGATGCCCCTTCCGGTCCTGGCTACGAGGCGTCCTTGGCCCTCGCTCCCCATGATGGGCAGAACATGGGTCCCCATGCGGGTTATGCTCCGGCGCCATCGCCGTTCTACTTCTCGCATCTTCTTCCGGTGAAGCTTACACCGGACAACTACCTATCCTGGCGGGCGCAGGTGCTACCTCTCCTACGGAGTCGCTACTTGGAGGGCTATGTTGATGGCTCTATCCCGTGTCCGCCGCCGTATCACCCGGCTCATCATGTGTGGGTGGCCCAAGACCAGGCGATACTTTCGCCATCCAGTCCTTGCTGACTCCGAGCGTGTCGTCGCTTGTCATCTTCGCCGCGACATCCCGGGAGGCTTGGTCTGCACTTCACAACAGTTTTGCCTCTCAGTCTCAGGCGCGTGCTCACTCTATCCGCACTGAGTTGGGGGAGACCAAGCTTGGAGGCCTCACCATCACGGAGTACTTCAACAAGATGTCAGGACTTGCAGACACGCTGGCCTCCATTGGCCAGCCCCTTGGAGATGAGGACTTCACCACTCATGTGCTCAATGGCCTCGATGATGACTATGACAATCTCATTGAGAACATCCATGGGCGCGAGGCGCCTCTCCCGCCACGGGAACTGTATGCGCGGCTCCTTGGTCGCGAACAGTGCATCAAAGCGCGTCGATCTACTCCGAGTTTTGCCTCTGCTAACGCCGCAACCCGTGGCAAATCGCAGAAGCCGTCGCTCCCTGCCAAGCCGGCGGGCACATCTCAGCCCTCACGGGGCGCCACGCCCTCCATCACAGGGGGATCGCGGCCAGTGGCTTGCTGCCCCAGTTGTGGTGCTCAGCAGGCATGCCAGCTGTGTGGGATTGAGCGCCACGTAGCTTCTCGCTGTCATCGCCGCTACAAGCAAGATTTCCTTGGCCTCGGCAACAATGACAAGGGGAATGAAAAACAGGCGGCCGCTGCGGTGGTGGGTCATGAGCACGGGCGTACTCCATCCTACTCGATTGATCCCTCGTGGTACATGGAAACGGGAGCTACCAACCACCTCACCAATGACATGAGCAAGCTCTCGGTCCAGGAGCCATATCGCGGTCATGATCAGGTGCACACCACTAACGGAGCAGGTATGCGCATCTCCCATGTTGGTCAGGCATCCCTTCTTGCACACAATTCACAAAAACTGCATTTGTCTAACATCCTTTGTATTCCCACTGCTTCGCGTAGTTTGTTGTCTGTTCCACAACTTACTCGTGACAATAATGTCCTTGCTGAATTTCACCCTTTTCGTTTCTTTATCAAGGATCAGGACACGAGGGCCGTTCTGCTTAGCGGTCGTCTTCGCCGTGGCTTGTATGCACTTGACGCGCCAACCGCACCTCCCATGCAGTTTTCTCCTCAGGCGTTCAGTGGTGTTCGTGTCTCGCCTACACATTGGCAGGCGCGACTTGGTCATCCTGCCGCTCCCATAGTCCGTCATGTGTTGCATCATCATGAGCTACCAGTTGTGTCAAATAAAACTACTGAAACTATTTGTGATGCCTGTCAGCAGGGCAAGAGTCACCAACTTCCGTTTTCAGAGTCTAGTCGTGTTGTGAAACATCCTCTTGAGCTTATTTTTTCCGATGTATGGGGTCATGCCCAAACGTCTGTTAGTGGCCATAATTATTATGTCAGTTTCATTGATGCTTACAGTCGGTTTACCTGGCTCTATCTTATTAAGAAAAAATCTGATGTGTTTGATGTGTTTATCCAGTTTCAAGCACATGTTGAGCGTCTCCTTCGCCAGAAAATTATTCATGTCCAAAGCGACTGGGGGGGTGAATACCACAACCTCAACTCATTCTTTAACAAGCTTGGGATTACACACCATGTGTCTTGCCCCCATACGCATCAGCAGAATGGGACTGCCGAACGTAAGCATCGTCACCTTGTAGAAACTGGCATCACTTTGTTAGCTCATGCCTCCGTACCTTTTAGGTTCTGGAGTGATGCTTTCTCCACTGCCTGTTTTTTGATCAATAGGCTTCCTTCACGACTACTGAATATGAAAACCCCACTTGAACTCTTGCTCAATGAAATCCCAGACTACACCTTTCTCAAAGTCTTCGGGTGTGCCTGTTGGCCTCATTTGCGTCCATATAATAAACATAAGCTAGAGTTTTGGTCGAAAAAGTGCGTTTTTCTTGGGTATAGTTCCCTTCACAAAGGGTACAAATGCCTACATGTTCCCACCAATCGCGTTTACATTTCTCGTGACGTTGTTTTTGATGAGAATGTGTTTCCCTTTCGTGCACTTCCGACTACCTCTATCACTCTTATGCCAGACGCTTCTTCTACCACACCTCTGCCTGATCAATTTGTGGATGTTGCATATGCTCCTGTGTTGCCCCCTAACCATGATGCAGGTGTTGGCCGTGGCGCTCGTCTCGAGCTCCTTGAGGAACAAGCACCGGCGCGTCCGGAGGATGATCACGTGCATGGGACATGCATATCGGGCGGCACACCGCAACCCGCAAGAGCTGCGCCCGCGGCTGCCTCGCGGGCATCGCCCGACCCCGCTCCGCGAGCGGCGTCCTCGCCCGCCTCGTGGGAGTTGCCCGAGCTGGCCTCGCAGGAGGTTGCTCCTGGGCCAGCCACGCCAGGCTCGCCTGGGCCGGCTTCGGCTCCCGAAGGGCCGGCCACCCCAGGCTCGCCTGCTTCTTCGGCGCTCAGCGGCTCCGGCGTGGGTGTTTAAAGTTAAACGGCATGCTGATGGCTCCATTGAGCGTTACAAGGCAAGGTTAGTGGCTAAGGGCTTCAAACAGAGGTATGGTCTTGACTATGAAGATACATTCAGTCCAGTTATCAAGCCTACTACCATTCGTCTGCTACTATCCCTTGCTGTTACTCGAGGATGGTTTCTCCGTCAGCTTGATGTGCAGAACGCTTTTTTGCATGGAGTTCTGGAGGAGGAGGATTATATGCGTCAGCCACCAGGGTTTGTGGATCCTGCACGTCCTAATCATCTCTGTCGTATTTTTAAGGCGCTCTATGGTCTTAAGCAGGCTCCCCGTGCCTGGCATGCACGTCTTGGTTTGGTTTTGCGAGCACTTGGGTTCATTCCTTCTACTGCTGACACATCACTGTTCCTTCTTCAATGCCCTGAGGTTACGATGTATTTACTGGTCTATGTTGATGATATTATTCTCATCAGTTCCTCAGATGCTGCGGCAGACCGCCTTGTGGCTGCATTGAGTGGTGATTTTGCTGTTAAGGATCTCGGTGCTCTGCACTTCTTCCTTGGTCTGGAGGTGTCACGGTCTTCTGCTGGAGTCACTCTTACTTAGAAGAAGTACGCTCTGAATTTGTTGCGTCGTGCTGGTATGCTGCAGTGTAAACCTGTCGCTACTCCTATGTCTGCCACTGATCGGTTGTCTGCTTTTGATGGTGACCCTCTCTCCTCTGATGATGCCACTAAGTACCGCAGTCTTGTTGGAGGCCTGCAGTATCTTACTATCACCAGA